TACCTCACAGTCAGCTCGTTGTCGTTGCAGTAGATTGCTTGATGATCTAAGCTAGAACGTCATTTTTGTTTCTTCAGGAAARGAAGAAGATTTATTAAAGATTTTTCCGCGTGAAGCTTACAGAAGTAGTGAAGGATGGTCCTTTCTTGCTGCAGGTATATATAATCACATATCTTACATATCTTATGTATAATCACATACATGYTAAGTTGCGCATCCTATGCTGCGCGCAAAAAAGTACCCGTCTGTTTGCTCATTTCACCTCTGACATACACTACATACTGCGCGCGCATTTACCAAAGAAAGGTTTTTACCTGTCCTGAGTCTAAAATCAAACTAGGTTGTCATCGTTACTTTTTATGTTGCGTTCTTTACAAAAAAAAAAGGAAATGTCCTGATTCTAAATGTTATCATCATTGCTGTATGATGTTGAGCTTTTGCAAAAAATGGAAATGTCCTGATTCTAAATGTCATCATCATTATTGCTGTTGATGCTGCACTTTTGCAAATAATGGAAATGTCCTGACTCTAAAATGAAACKATGTTATCATCATTACTTTTGATGTTGCGCTTTTGCAAAAAATGGATGTCTCTTACAGATTTCCAGTCGATTGAACTGCGACTGCTTGCACACCTATCAGACGATCCTTCACTATTAAGTGTGTTYAATGATAAGGACTCTTCGGATGTTTTCACTACGCTGACATCCCAATGGTGAGCATGAACTTAATATATCGTCATTTCAATTTGAGTGTATATATCTAACAGAGAGGTATCAGCGGACAAAAATGTTGCATATATTAATTAAAGCCTTTTAAAATTCCACAGACGTCCAAGTAGGTGCTCTTGCTAAASAGCTTATAGATACCCAAGAAATCAGTGCGTAACAAAAATTTGCAGTAAATATGTTAGTATACTGATCAGAAAATTGGTTTACCAGGCTTGGGATCCAACCTGAAGATGTGCAATTCCAAGAACGAGAGCAGACAAAGAGAATTGTTTATTCCGTCATTTATGGAGTTGGTTAGTTTCTCTTCACATACCTCACAATTTTTTACCATCGTACATACCACAAGTCATTTTTCTAACATCGAATTATTTAGTTAGAAGTTTAATGTTGATGATTCTCTTTCTAGGTCGCGATAGACTTGCTAAAAMTCTGGGAGTAAGCGCAGACAAAGCTAAAGATTTTATGACAAGTTTTCTTGGTTGGTAAAGATGTATCTTCTACATTATTGAAATAATTTTTCAAAACGATTTTTCTTAGATTAACAACTTTTTTATTTTTTRCTTAGAAAAATTTCCGGGAATAAGTGTTTTCACACGGAAATGCATCGAAGAATGCAAACGAAACGGTACAGTAAACCATCCATAAAGGATGCATGCTTTTCGGAGAGTAGAAAATGGTGTTGTCAACTGATTTTTTTCTTTTTCTACAGGGTTTGTAAGTACRATATTGAAAAGAAAGCGTTGGTTTCCACACATCAATGCACACCAGTTTAACATTCGTTCTCAGGCAGAAAGACAAGCAGTTAATTTTATYGTACAAGGCAAGTACTTAAATTAAAATAAGGCTGATACTAATGTTTTTTTAGATCTCTATCCTCTTCCTTTGCGCATAACTACGATAATGGTTTGCGCGCGGTTACGTGAAGTTATAATGTTCAAAAGTACTGGCGATCAGGAATGAATCAGGAAAGGGGCAGGAAAAATAAATCAATGGAGCTCTCTATCAATTACCCTCACTATTACTTCTCTCAGCCATATTGATATCAGTTTTAGGAGCTTCCACTTGTTTTCCTGTTAAATTCCACTCACTGTTTCTTTAACATGCATCAAGGATCAGCAGCTGATATCTGCAAATCCAGTATGATACAAGTAATTCGTGCTATAAAAGACGAGCCTTCGTTGCATGCAAGGTATTCTTTTATATCAATTCAAATTGTGTAATATACAATATAAAACAGGTATTCGAAGAGTACTACAAATCAAAATTACAAAAGTTAACCAAAAAACCGTTTTTGTCCACCATGCAGGGCAGCCATGCCGTAGCAAAAAGCTGAAATAACGGACTCGAACACGTCTTTGCACAGCATTAATAAATGATCATGGTTATCTCGTAATAGTTTATACTGACTTACCCAATTAGTTTTTTCTCTTTCTCGTGTGTGATTTTGATATTGTTTCAGACTTTTGCTTCAAATACACGATGAACTACTTCTCGAAGTCCCGGATGAAGATATCCCAAAACTGAAAGGTATTCGCTATTCTCTCCTTGATCTAGGTCAAGGACCGCGGAGACCATTTTAAAGTGGTAGGGCTAATAAATCTGGCCAAGAGTATGCAAGAGTATACGCGTTTTGTTAATTTTGAGTAGTAAAATTCAAACATGATCTATGTTATCTGGAGCCCTTTAAAATCAACCCAAGCAAAAAGGTGGTAGGGCTATAGCTACAAGCCCCCCACCCCCTGCCGCGGTTCCTATAGGTGTGTTCTATCTATCACTACCTCTTTATCTCTACTATTTTTACAGCCTCTTGCTTTCGTAGCTAAAAAAGTTTTTGATTCAAACTTGAACTTTTTACTATTTACATACATATTGATAATTATAAAAAATTACAAAGATTTTTTTAAAATGTATTACAGTGTAATTATTATTTTGTCTTCTACAATTTTCTCATGGGTTAATGACGCGAAAGCTTGGGATTTCAGTAATAAAATTCAACGTAGAAAATTCAAATTCAAATCAACTCATTACTCATTACTTATGAAGACTGTTGATTTAATAGTCGAAACGTCTAAATAAACCAACCAAAAGCGTTTTGAATGTATACTTGCAGAGCTTCTCAAATCRACCATGGAAAGTAGTGCAAAGCCTTGTCTAAAGGTACTAGTATGATTATTTTCCTTCCTTTCAAACTGTTGACATCTCTATTCTTATTCTTCTTGATTGATTTAACTTGCTCTTAATTTGATTTATTTAAGGTTCMTCTTCAAGTCAGCATAAGTACAGGAAAAAAGTGGAGCCATATGACTGCTTGTTAGTAGTAACTGTAAAGACGCTGAGCATCAGAAAGAATATTGAGATTAAATATATGCTTTGTTGACTGAAAGTAGTTCTCAGCATTTTTTTTATTTTTTACATTATATCTCATTTAATAAATATTTCAAAACTCGAAATAAGTACCTTTATCTTGGTTAGGTCCAACAACATGTGATTTGATAATCAGTAATCGACCGTGTTACTATAACGCATGCGCAAAACCCGAGAAAACATACACTTGTTTTCACAGCTTCGAACCACTGAAATCCATTCAACAATGAATAACGTCAAATGCTWTTGACTTAGTCCTAGAATGCTCGACAAGTGTTAAAACATGGTTTATACAACAGTTTACCTTGATACCCACYTGGGTACACAACCATCATCCAAAGAACGTTTTATTTTACATAGTGTACGTACCTATTCCTTAAACTAATCTAAATTTTTTCCTATACTGATTTCAATACGATAATACATTCATGTACGTCATTCTTTTATACATTACTTTGGCTACTAATTGCATTAATACTTTCGTTTTGAGATTTGCATACATATACCTTGTAACATACCCTATATAATGATATAAATGCGACCAAATGAATCTTCATAGATCGACTTTAAAGTCAACAGCTCCCATTTTCTTGTAATGGRAAATTAATGATTATTATTATGAATTCGATTAGTAAAATCAAAATTATTCAAAAAATTCAGTAACGAAAACGAAAAACGTATTTAAAGAAAACGAAAAAAGAACGTCTTCAAATACTGAACAAAGTTTCTGCAAAGCTGAAACAAATACTCCCGTTTCGAGTTCTACATCTGCATAATCAAAAACTATTGGAATACATATCAAGTACCATCTCAAGGTTAGCCGATATTTTCAACTGCYACCTTTATTGACTTTATTTACAGATGGTTTTTCTGTAATTAAGAAGGCTTAAAGATTTGAGACCCTATATAATGCGTACACTGAAGTTTCATTTCATTACCTTTCTAGCATTTAGTCGCGAAGCATCTGGCAAGATGGAGTGGTTAAGAGGACTTATCTTTATCAGTTGTGCGCTTTGCGCATTTGGTAAGTAAGAATATACAATATTTYCCTTGTAACTCTAAGAAATTTGCATGCAATAGTCTGGCGAACTCATGGAGTAGTTAAGAGGACTTAATTGTCAGTTTTGCGTTTTGCATTATAATCATTGTGTTGTGATTGTCGAGAGTTTGCGCGCCACATAGTCCAGACTAGTAATTGAGTAGTTGAGGGGTACTCGTTATCTTTGTCAGTAGTGCSCTTTGCGCATGTGTTAAATGAGAACATTCATTTTTGTATCGTAGTTGTTTTGCGCGCAATAGTCTGGCCAACTATTCATAGCCAACTTTGTAACCAAGTTTTTCTCGCGTTAGCGCACTTGTGCGATACTGTACAAAACAAAAATAGATTTTAAGGTTAATTTTAAACGATACAATTTGCTCAATATTGAGTCAGAGCTAGGATAAACATACAAAAGTGTTTTCAAGTGTTTTCTATTGAGACAGACAAGAAATATCTCATCACGCCATGTAATATCCTTAATGAATACGGTACATTGCTAATCTGATATCATCTTCTTGCAGGTTTAAACTCACCCCGACCCCCCAGCAGCCCTTCCTCTGTTGAGGAGGTAGCCGCTAGTCGATCATCTTTTCCCATGCCTGGAGGTAAGCTTGTTTCAAATGCATCTTGTTATTTATCACGAACTTTGCAAATATTCACCCTATCCTGCTCTGATTGGTCCAAATACCGTTTTAGATGAGAGTATCTAAAACGCTTGCGTCATTGTTTTCTGCACGCGCTTACTGAATTTGAACTTTCATAGCAAAAATAAAAAAGTATTTTTCGTTAATTTGTTATTTTAGTTTTCCGTTGTAGATACTCTGATCTAGTAAACGCCTGGGATCCTGGAGAGAACACTTGAGAAGCTGGAAACCACTACGCTTTCTAATTTCTTACGATTCTCTCGTGTTCTCTCAGCACCCTGCGTGTTTAGATCAAAGTATCTAAAACGGAAAACTGTTTCATATTTCTTAAATAGTTCGCGTACGTTGGAGGCAGTCGGCTGAATTTCTCCGTTGCCTGATAAGCAATACACCACTTGTTGAGACTTTACTTTAATCTTCTAGTTTGAACTTTGTATACTCTTAAAGCGGAGAAAATTACCGATCAACAACAGACATGAATTTCTAAAGTAGCACAAAATATTATGGCATGAAATCTTGCTATTCTATAACTCTAGACATCGTGGAAGGTGATATTGTCCTTGATGACAACACCGCAGCCCTGTTACGTGGAGGAGCTAGGAATGCTATGGCCAATGTTAACAAATGGCCCAATGGTGTTGTTCCTTACATCTTGGACTCTAGCGTAGGTAAGTTTGGACTCAATAACATTTTAGCCCTTCACAGAATCGAATAGGGGTTGAGGGATTGATGGGCTAAAACAGGGAGACGCCCCTTTTGGTAGACATTAGTAGTCACAGTACCATACATTTGTAGCAACATAGAAAACACATTTGCAACCAAGTGGAGTAAAAGCCCATCAGTGATTGAGAAAAGTTTTTGCTATGAGTACAATCTACTGTGTACTGATAGAAATGCGCGCCATCGCCTCTGTATTGGCAAAGCCTTCAATTCTAGGCAATGCGTACTAGACTTTATGCGCGCGAACAAACTCTTTAGATATTTAATGATATTGATTTTCRTGGTAAATTACTAGACGATTACCTGAGACAACAGATTGACATTGGTATTGCTGAGTACCATAAATACACCTGTCTGCGCTTCGTAAAGAGGACCGTKGAGAAGAACTACATTCGTATCGTAAAGCCAGCGTCAGGGTAACTAAAAGATATACCTTCTTATTTAAGATTTTTAAATGTGTTCAGTGAGACTCAACTTCGAGTCAATGGAATAAATCTGAGTGGTTACATTATACTGTTTGATTAACAAATGCCATTGGTATGTAAAGAGGAGCTAAGCCCTCTTTTCTACTCCAGCAATTGTCTTTTTCCAAGGCTATCGTGGGTTCCGCGACCCACATAGCGCTCCGTCGCGAGCAGCGCTCACTGCCACCCCAAATGTCTTTACTTAAAGAAATCGTTACAACTGGTGTCCAATAAATTCTAATGTAACGTTTTCCCTATTTGTCACGCAACCACAGCTGTAACTCAATGGTTGGTGTGGTAGGAAACGGAGAGCAGATCCTCAACATGGGACCCGGATGCGAGTATGTTGGGTTGGTGTTGCACGAATTTGGTCACGCAATTGGTTACTTCCACGAACACAACAGACCAGACCGTGACAATGTAATCGAGGTCTTGTGGGATAACGTTCAGCCAGGTATGCATATGTTGAAAAGTAGTATACCAATTAAGACTCATATGATACGCCTGTAAATTAGATATCAATTTCATCTACCCCTAAAGCAGTATATGTGCTGCAAAAGTCGGACACCGTTAAATATMATATCGAATTGGAATTTAGCGTTGGGTTTYGTGRAGGAAGGAAGACTGACTGGCAAACCCGGGCAAAAACTCTCGAATCATGCAAGATGAGGGTTAAAAGGCCAAATTTTGGTTCACTATATAACTGAGATTACTTTGAAGTTGATTTAATCGCATAAAAATTATTTCTCGTTCCTTTCTAGCATTCAAGTCCGCTTTCAAAAAGTACACTTTCCAGGAGGCTGATACGCAAGGATACTCCTACGATCTCACGTCTATCATGCACTACGAAAACAGTGCTTTTGGCAAAGCTGGTTTCTGTAAGACTACCATTATTGTCAGGAACAACCCATCATATGAGGTTCGCCCGGTTTATGAAAGAGGGGTGTTCAGCCCCCAGGACATTAAGAAGATTAACAAGCTGTATGGATGTCCAATGAAGGGATTACCTGATGTGGGTGAGTCGACCGTCCACTCATCTGTGTATTTCATTTTTGATTATTATTTGTGAGCTAATAATGCACTAGTCAATTGWAGCCCCCACCCTCAGACCCCAGGGACAGGGCGGGCGATTTAACATTCATGTAGTGTTAGATTTAGCGCTTTCCCCCGTTTTYCGGSAAAAGATTTGCCGTTAAAATTATTGAAGTTGTTGCTGTTAAAAATTGTTAAACTGTTGAGGTATTCGTTAAATTCCCCGTATACTCGTGCATTCACTCTGGGCTGCGTTTATTCCCCGCTCTGCCCTGGGGATCGAGGAGGGGGTTAACTAACAAGTGCATAACTCACTATTCCACTTTTAACCTGTTTTCGTATTTTATTCTTACAGTTAAGCCAGGCACTAATAACCCAGATCCTAACGGTAGGTGACATTTCATTGATTGSCCGCATATTTTTATTCTTCTGTCTACCGTCTATTATTAGCCACACATGGAATTAAACCAGCTCTTACCTCGTTGCACTAGCTGATGCGTTTTTGTAGGATAAATCATTATCATCATCATCATCAACGCGTCGTCTTTCACCACTGTGAGTCCAACAAGTCGGGTCGCTGGTTCGACATGTGAATAAAGTTTGTTTGATGTGTGGTTCTCTCCTATGCTACGAGGGTTTTCTCCGGGTTTTCTGGTTTCCTCCCTCCGTAAAAATCCACATGTGAGTTGAGCGTCGTGTGCATATAATATTGAATGAAGTGCGAAAGCGCTAGAACGGCTAGACACTTAAATAAAGATATTCATTTTATTGTTATCATCATTATCATTATCATTATCACCATCATCATCATCGAGCACTGATCAGGAAACTAAGATTATCCATTTTACTTTTCTTTTCATTACAAATTCATTTTGTTCCRTTTCCACAGCCTGTGTTTGCGAAGACAAGCATGCTGAGTGTCAAAGCTGGAAAGATAGGGGTGAATGTGGAAACAACAATGCATGGATGAGCTCTAACTGTCCAAAATCTTGCAGGGTTTGTGGAGGTAAGAATTGCGTCACAACATACAGCGGAATTGATCGCTGATAAAATTATTCTAATTCTTGCGATTACAATTTGCACTCACAAGAGTCCTAGGTTTGGTTTACKAAAGCAGGCTCGCCATTTACACGCGGTACGATTTTTCTCACAATTGCAACGTACTTACGGCAAGTTTTAGCTGCCATTTACAGTTGTAAGCAAATTGAACGGTCGAATTACGCTAAGCAATTCGTGTCGTCAGCATGTCGTGCGCGACTGTTTTGAAGAAAATCATACAAAAACTGATTGCCAAAAAGGGGGTGGGGGAGGATTAGCGGTATCTTCTATTACTGTGTCACTCATGCTGTTACCTGAAAAGGGTTTCTGCAGATAGTGAAGCACTTCTTCCTTTTACAAATATTCGTTGAGGAAATTTCATTCTACGAAACTAACATATTTTGTTTATTTTCATTTTCACAAATCAAGAGCCWGACTCAGGTAAGTTCATAAATGTTTTTACCTATGAGTTGCCTATTTGTTATTTAATATCAAATAATTTATTATTTATTATTAAACCATTACAGACTGCAAGGACGAATTTCCGGTAGCATGCGAGGAATACGCCCAAAGATATGAGTGCAGCTACAACCCAGGGTGGATGCTTCCAAACTGTCCCAAATCCTGTGGTGTGTGTGGTAAGTAACTGGTTATGCACTATATAGCCTGACCCCAAACAATGACCAACCATTACTATGTAATGGTAGCGAGGTTCGAATTCGGTAGCGCGAATCAAAATCTTCATCAGATCCAGAGAAACGAGGAAAAGATTCCACCCTTGCAGAAGGGTCGGAAGGTAGGGGGGGGGGGGGGCACAGTTAAGGCCCCTGTTGCCTTTCCCCCAATGAATTTTTTTCTCGCATAACATATTTCAAAAGTTATTTAGTCTCGGCTTGTCTTAAAACGTTACCGCCAGCAAATCATACCAAATCCTTATGATTATTATTGTTGGTTGAAGGTACTGCGGTTCCTCCTACTTTGGATCCTAATGCTTGTGAGGACAGGAATACAGGATGTCCCGGTTGGGCTCAGCGTGGCGAGTGTAGCAAAAACTTTGACTGGATGCACCAAAACTGCAGAAAGAGCTGCCGAGTTTGTGGAGGTGAGAGATTAGATGTCATTGTAATTATGGTTTCATCAGCTTTGACTAAAACGTTTTTGTTATTTTTTTTCAWTTAACAGAACCAGATTCAGGTAAGCTATAAAACATAAGAAAAAAAGTACCTGAGCACACTAATGAGGTAAAGAGTAAGTAAGATAAAATCCAATAAAGACCAATCAAGGAATACAAAATAAACGGGTTAAAAAATAAAATCGAGGTAAAAGGGTAAAATACCTAGGGAACCAAAGAAAATGTCAGTATTAAAAGGGGTGGCCGTAATAAGCAGGTTAAGGTAACAGTAGATGAATACCGCGAGGAAAAAGTCTCGGGGAAGAAGACAAGTGTCCGTTATAATGGGGTATTCATAATAGGTAGGTGTCCATTAAAGGGGGTTCTATAATGATTTATACTTAATTTCTAGTAAATATTATGAAATAATTACCAATCTATTCAACAAGAAAACAACACCAGGTTTAGTACGATGTAACGAATTGAAACATATTGTACTTATATCCATTCCTATTTTTCTAGGGTTTAGGGAAGAGGGAGAATAATGGGAGACTCTGCTCGCACTATCAACTTCCCATATGTATTCCCATTTGTACGATTCGCTCTAWGAGTCATCAATTTTTCTTCAAATTTTCTTTCCATATATATTCCCATTTGTACCCTCTATACTAGACTATGATCCGTCAACTTCTTTTAACCTCAGATTGCAAAGATGAGTATCCTCAAGCTTGTTCTGACTGGAGCAGTCAAGGCGAATGTCAAGCCAATCCTACTTGGATGGGAAATAATTGTAAGAAGTCCTGCAACAAATGCTCTACTACAGGTAATGCTTGCACTACTTACATATATTTATTGAACTGATAATGTTTCGGAAATAAATCATTTCCTAACTTTACCTGTCGTGACTACGTTGCTGTGAATTACCATGTTGATGTGGAAGAGTGGGGGGTGGGTCTTGATAGACCCCTTGCATTGATTTCCTAAAGGAATTGTTCTGGGGGGACCCAGAACAATTCCTCTAGGAACTTAGCGCAAAGGGCCTATAGATGTAACCTGCGAGCGGCCCGGTCCAGTTTAACTCTAAGTTAAAGTTGGGTTGCACACGCGCAGGCTACATAGATTGATAAGCAGTGCATGCTGATGATGCAGATATGAGATCAAAGATGATTTTGAAAGTATAACGATCAAACAAAATGTTTGGCTTTTTAAATGCCCGTAAAAAGGAGCAATGATAGTAAGAGGGGGTAGAGGGCGCACCTTTGAGCGCATTAAACATGAGCCCTTTGCTCGGGAGAATTGGGCAACCACTCCGCGCGTTATCGAAGTAAAATGAATTACCTTTACCTTCTTTTTTGATTGGTTAAGGGAACATAAGAACAGGAAYATATAATTTATGTCGGACCACAGATCGAGACATTACCATTAGAAACATTTTCYATTTCAGGTACCTTACCTCCCCAGACCCAACCACCCTCTACTTTAGAACCAACCACGGAACCTGATGACAATTGTAAGAATATCAAACATTTTTAATTGATTATAATAACCGCATGCTATAAGAACTTAAGTAAAGAAACCATCTATGCATTCTATTAGCTAACCATGACATTAATCATACCAAGCATTTGAAAGGCAATAGGCCCAGCTACTAGACAAATGTAATACAAGATTTGATCATTATCTGTTTGTAAACCTGTGACTCCATATACAAGGGTCTTTAGTGCTATGAAAGGCATGGATAAAGGACGGCAAACTCAGTAGTAACTTTTTACATATTTCATAATACTAACCATAGCGTTAATTAATCGACTTGCATAAATTAACAGAAAGAAAGATCTAACCCAATGTGYTGCTTATTAAATTGACTTTAATCTTTACTATCAATACCTTCAACTCGAATTCTTTTATCCCCTGTAGGTACCTTGATTCCTGACACACCTCCACCCCCAACACCACCACCCCAGACACCAGCACCCCCAACGCCACCACCCCCAACGCCACCACCCCAGACACCAGCACCCCCAACACAATCACCCAATACCCCACCAACTGGGGACTGTAAGGACGTCTACCCGGCAGAATGTCCCAAGTATAAGTCGTGGGGCTGGTGTACCCGGCAGGACAGGCTTGATTRCATGAAAGAAGTGTGTAGTAAGACATGCAAATTCTGCGGCGGAACGACAGGTAAAGTTTTGAATATTGACCGCTCTGAATACAAAAACAACCATCATTTTTTTTATTGTAATCAGCAACAATATAGACTTGTTAATTATAGATTATCTGATTTAGAACGTCGGATAACAAGGTCGATCGAGTTAACTCCCTACATAAAACATAACATATTATGCAACATAAAATATTTGATTTTCCAGCCCTTGGTTGTGCATGTGCTTTTTCCGTGTGCTTAAATTAATTTTAGATATTTTTCATAACCCAACCTTTGTTGGGAATCAAAAAGTCATAAAGTTTTTTCTTTAGCTCAACTCACTATTGACAACTTAAAACTTGACRCTGATACCAAGATTTTTACAAAATTCAATCCCGATTTGTAGTTACCAATCCACCAAGTACCCAATCTCCACCAACTGGGGACTGTAAGGACGTCTACCCGACAGAATGTCCCAATTATAAGTCGTGGGGCTGGTGTACCCAACAGGACAGGGTTGATTACATGAAACAAGTGTGTAGCAAGACATGCAATTTCTGCGGAGGATCTACAGGTAAAACCAATTACGAATAATCATGTGCTTTAAACCAAACATGATTATTTTACACCCATATATTAGGGATGTTGATTGACGGAAACTATAAACCCGGATATCTTGCAGTTGCGAGTTCACAGGAACATATGACTTACTAACAAACGACTTGCATCTAAATATTCTTTAGGTGGTGGTGGTGGTAATGGTGATTGCAAAGATGTGTATCCTCAATACTGTCCGGACTACAAGAGCAGAGGGATGTGCACAGATCCTAACTACGTGGACTACTGCAAAGAAGTTTGCAAATCAACCTGTGGATACTGTACGTAACTCCCTCTATAATTTTTGATGTACTCGCACAGCAAGAGCTTGAGAGTTTTGTGTTTTGTAAACCACAGTTTACACCTGGAGTGGCGGATMCAGGAATTTTAGAAGGGGGCGACTACTGGAAGGTTTTACGAGAAATGGGGGGTGGCTTACGAAGGATAGTACTGAGAAATTTGAGTAAAAGAGAGTTGGCTAGCCATCCCCTTCACCACYMCTGGATCTGCCCCGCCCTGACCTAGTCCCAGATGGTTTCTTTTTGATGATTATTTAATAGCCCTTTTTGTTATTCGGTAAATACCGTTGTGTTTTATGACTAAAGACTCATCTGTATAGKTTTAGCTTCGTTTAAGATTAATCATTTGCAAAAGTCAACTAAAATGTAAAGACTATGCAACTTGAACAATACCAATGKTTAAAATTCCACTGYCAGACTTGAAATAGTATCTGTGAAAAGCTGACTCATAAACGAGGCTAAGCCTGTGCAAATGAGTCTCCTGTGGTACTCAAAAACAGCGGTATGCGAGTATTCAGAGAGCAAAGTGCTCAAAGTCAGATATAAAAGGAATCTTGTCCCAGTACGATTCAAGCGCATCTTAATCAGGGTAATTTAATCTTAAGGTKAAATAGGAAAACAATTTGGACACTTCTACGTATCCCACCTCAATATACTGGCCTCACTTGCTAAACTCAGTAGAATTTTCTCTTATTTCTTCTAGGTTAAACGCATCCCAGAAACGTTTACAACTCCCAATCTTGAATGGACCGTTCAATTTAGTTATAGCAAACATGTGAATTTGCGTTTTAAACGGCAAATATAAAATGGCAAATAAATATTGTAGTCAACTTATAAACGTGTTTTAATTCGTCATAGAACAAACCTGCCCAATCCAAACTACACTCTCTTACCATAATCTCTATTAGTTTCTGTCATACTCTTTCATACGGCAAATTAGGCTATAGTGATAACTGGAATTCAGATAATATTTCCTCTAAGTAAAACAAGCTCGTAGTATACGGGTCAACCGTTGTTACCGATCCCCTCTCCCCCCCTCCCCAAAATAAAATACTTGAACTATAACAGAATTAACACTCCCATTTTATTTCCCACTACCCCGGTCCCCCGGCCGTTGGTTACGTTAATAGAAATCGAGGAAACTGGGGAAGAGCTATTTTCAAGGGAGCCTGCGATCCTTATGGTCAGCATGAAAGCAAATTCGTGCTAAGATGATATCGAAACCAGTAATGTGTAGAGGGGAAAAACTACTGTATATCAAAGATTATGGCACTGCTTTATCCAATATCAGAGGTCCAGGTAACGCTTTAGTTTCTCTATCCTCAACAGAGGCTAGTTATTAGCACGCTTACTCAAAAGAATTAATTTAATAGTTAAAATTTTAACTGTCTTTATAAATGCTTCAATTATTRCGTCACCAAATCAAATTCGGCTTTTATTACTAAAAAAGACACCTGTTTAGGATTTTCATAATCTTAAGACTTCGTTATTAACAATTGGAGATGGCAGAAGAAGGCTTTGCTTATTATAAGATCGTACAACGTATATCAAAAAAGGATTTGTTTGTTTGTTTGGCTCTATGGATGGAGGAAAGCCCCTTGGTATCAATAGATGACTGTGGAATATGTGAYGGAAGTATCGTAAACAGTAAGATTGGAGATAAAAGAAAGAATGTTGAGCTCGATGATWATCATGACCTAAAGAAAGTGAAAGTATTGGACAGTGATGAAGTTAATTCTGGAAGCAATGAAATTGAAGATTCGGAAAATCARGTTTTTGTGGAAAAGGTTGATTCTGAACATACTCTTAAAGATAGTATGATAAACAGTCCTATGACAGATTCAAATGAAGCTAGAGAAGTAAAGAAATTGAGCACAGAAAGTAAACTCAACACCATGGGTGTGGTTATTGTTGATTCAAATGAGCGCATAGTTGCGATAGACTACACCCATCAAGGTCTTCATGCCATTACCAATGCGATGGTAGCTCACTCTGGAAAAATGCAAGGTTGTGTAGTGTATGCCTCTAGAAAACCTTGTTCGTTGTGTACTAAGTTTATGATCCAAATGGGAATAACAAAGATTTATTATTTACCCCTGGAGCCAGAATGCCCTATTGCAGAAGACCTGAATTATTGTGAACAAATGTACAGGACGTGCCCTATTGCTCAGTCTGTGTATGTGCCTTCAATATGCAAAAATGTAATAAGAGATAGTACAGTAAAGAGATCTCCTTATACACCAACAAAGCCAGACCATGTTGGTCTCGTCGAAGTTTTATTAAACAAATACTGGAATAAAGAATGGGTTAATATCTTGCCGCAATTGCTTTTTTGGTCAGATTATGAGAAGATTTCTGGCAAAGTAGCATCTCAAATGATTGTAATGTTCRAATGGCTTGCTAAGGTGACTTTGGTAGATGTCCCTGAAACCACAAGGTTTAAACCATATGAACTTTGCAATGGTTTGATATCAGGAAGAACAGACATTGAATCTCATACAAATGATGTTGACAATAGCWTGAGAAAATCAGCAGCTTTGATTGTGAGGGATTCGCAATGGCAGCAGACTGCACTACACATGTCCAGAATGGCACAGATCTTAGCGCAGAGGTCAGACGACCCCATGAGGGGGGTTGGAGCAGTGGTTTTAAAGGAGAATGAAATAGTYGCTGTTGGATGGAATGGATTTCCAGCCAAGGCATTGTATGGTGATTTCCCCCGAGCAAATGACAGAGATGAGAACATCAAGGATAAGAAATATCCATACATCATTCATGCAGAACAGAGCACGATTTTATCAAGACTTGTACAAGATATCAATCATGAATCAACTACAATGTTTGTGAACAAAATGCCTTGTAATGAATGTATGCCAATTATACTAAAAGTTGGAATAAGAAATGTGGTGTTTCCTCCAGAAAGAACTAAACAATATACCACATATCTACATACAGATTTGATTTCAAGATGTATTATGGCTGGTAAGATAAATGGATTTATTTCTGAAATTTATCCAAAGAATGAAGGCCAAGTAAAAGTAGTTTCAAAAAGTTTGCAATTTCTTGAAACTAARAAAGACAAAGAAACTCTAAATTCTAATATTAAATGACATTTCTAAATTTTCTTATCAGTTTGTGTTATCATATCATTGAACATGTTTCTTAAACCATTAATGATTTTGATAATTGACCCTCTCATCCATGGCCAAGGGTAAAATATTGCCAGATATCTATATTGCTCTATTAAATTGTAATTAGCATAATTCCATAATCTAGAACACATTCTTAGCAATAGCTTACACTCGATAATTTGTTGTCATACATAAGTGCTTGAGGATTGTGTGTTTACRCTATGAGTGTGTGGGTTTTGGTAATGTTTTGGTTGATATTTTTGTTTTACCCAAATGATTAGATGGTTTAGAAAGCTTAGAAGCGTTATTAAAATCATCATGGTTGAGAAAACAAGTTTTTAAATAATTAAATATATATCATTCATGGGAAAGATTGTTTCATCTGAATATTTCCAAACACCCAGAAGGGAGTTTAAAAAATGAGGCAGAGCCAAGGTTTTTAACTAGCTTCAAGGTGTTTAGATTCACCTTTGATATGGCTTCTCAAACTATTAATAATTCTTGGAGAAATTCAAAGCATAAGCTGCCCAAAATTTATGCTAATTAAGAATACATTTCCAAACCTCCTTCATGCTAGTGATTTTTGCTTTGTCCTCATGAATCATTAATAAGTTTGAGAATAATAAACCACATTTATTTTGAAATATTTTCAACACTACATTTTATTTTCTAGTAAGTACTGTAACTTTTAGTCTAAATAGAGGTTTTGCACCATCTTGTGAAGGCAGCCATCTTTAAGATGACAGGAAAAGTACAGTGGTTTTACATGAGAAAGAATYCAATTCCCAGAGTAAATGGAGTCAGTTGTTTTCCCAACTGTCATTGCTGCTGTCTGGTGATGCTGAACAACCTCTATTATAGTCAAAATGGCTTAACCTTACCCCCTAGGTTCCRTTAATGGTTTCATTGTTCAAATATCAAAATTTATTATTCTTTCCGAGAATAAAAAGCAATACAACGTCTTCATATTCTCAGAAAGAATATTATTAAAATTTCAATGCTTGAGTAATGAAGGCATTAATGATAATTTAATAATAATAATTTTATTAACTTATATAGTGCATTTTCCATAAAAATGATCAAATGATCAAAAAAAATTAATCAAACCTAGGAGGGTAAGCTTGAGCTGTTTTGACTATAAAACCTTTTTCCATGCTGTGCATCTCGTTTATTGACTTCATTTACCCTTCAAGTATGCCTTAATTGAATATGGTCTGATGGCTGGACATCATTAAGATGTGTGATTTGTGAAAAATAGTACAATTCTTGTATATTTTTTTTACACTTATTGATTTTTCATTGATTTTATTGTAACAGATAGTTTTGAAATTAGTCAAATACCACTATGTTCCTTGATTACAGACTCATTTACACARTGCTAGCCTTATTTCACTTGTTTTAGATGGGTTTGAAAGGTTAAATCATGAAAGCTAAGACTGACGGCTATTTCGGGTTGTTGATATCCTGGGCATTCAGAGAGTGTTTGCATGCAGACACTTGCATGAAGAGTGACAAACTGTTTTGTTTGGTAACTTGAATCAATGTTCAAGAGCTGCAGAATCGCAATATGCATAATATTAGCCTCATTAACTGTTTACCCAAAACACCCCTCAGTCTTAGCTTCAATGTTTTAACTTTTTCATTCCAATAATGTTTCTTCCAATTTTGTTAAAGAATGCACACTTCAACAATACAAGCACTTTGAAATTCCATGGACCTTCACTGGAATGCTAGAAATTATATTTTGAATAATTCCATACAAAATCAAGGCTGCCACTGAACACCAGAGATTTTAATTCTGGACTATCGCTAGTTAATCATTTGTGGATTTGATCTTCGAAAACTCTTTATCTTTAGAATAAAGATTCATAGTTTATGACGTGTCTTGAAGTGTTTTTCCTTGGAATACAGCTAATGAATTACATTAGTCGTTTGAAGTACAATTATTGTGTCAAAGCACTAAACATATTTTTAATAGGTCTGGATAGACTGATGAATTGTTTTTTCCCCCCCAAAGTGTCAAATATTGTTATTCGATAGATTTTTTTCTTCACGACCTTCGCTTAGAATAATTACCACAGGTATCCTACAGGTACACTCTACTTTCAATACCATTATCGTAAATAAAAGGTTTGTTTGACTTACAGTTTTCATTCTTAAAATATTTTGAAATGACTCTTTTTCTAAGAAATTACCAGCTACGCATCACTTGCTTGATTATGTTAGTTGGAGAGATTGAGTAACAGAACGAGTTTACTTTCTGTATATTCTAGGGCAATTCTGGTCGTTTATTAATCTTTTTAGTATCGAGATAAGACCTACTGTTCTATTGATTGTTGATTAATTTTATTAATTAAGAGTATTGTTAATAAATTATTCCAACACTTCTCACGTCTCTTGTTCGTTCAACCGAATCATAGATTACTTACAGTGACGATATAGAACATAATTAATTTGCATAATTTCCGAATATCATTTCTTTAGAATTGGCACTAGTCTAAAACCAATAGGATTGCGTATTCGGTTCCCAACAGTCGGTCATATGACAATATACATTCCTTATTTGGTAAGAACCAAACGCCATATGTACCGCTGTTTGAACTACGTTCAGGACATTACAAGACGTGAATTCTGGACGGAGGAAAAAACAAGCAGGAATTGAAGAAATATGGACAAGGAAAGCGCTAAAAGAACCCGCACAGCAGATGAGGATACAAAGGAATCAGAATCTGGATCTCAATCGAAATCCCCTATGTATGGAAGAAGGAAAAAACAAGTGGGAAAAGATTYAATGTACATGATGACCGCCCTKTGGATGGAACAGTCTCCTTGGAATTTCAAATACCCACWAAACYGACTGAATGTCGTTGGCGATGAAGACRAACTGAACGTCGTGGGAGCGGTGTTTGTGCTGCCAAACGATCGAGTTCTTTCTGTTGATTGCAGTAGAAGGAATAACTCCATATCAGCTACCCTGATGGAAAAGGACGAAGGCATTGTACATGGTGCTGTACAGGCGCTCATCAAGTACCCCGACAGAGTGAAAGACTGTAAGGTTTATCTGTCAAGGAAGCCCTGTGCCCATTGTGTCAAGTTGCTGGTCCAGGCAGCAGTGGAGAAAGTCTTCTACCTTCCTTTGAGACCAGAGAAACGTGACAAAGAAGAAGACAAGAGTATCGATGCCTTGTTTCAAGTGAGTACCATGAGCAAGTCGGTCTTTGTTCCCTACATTACCGAGGACGACGTGAAAGAACTTGAAACGGAATCGAAGAAACCGTACAATATTTGTATGAAGAATTTAGGGGAACAAGAGAAGAATTATGCGAAAGGAGGATGGGATAAATGGAAGGGAAATATTAAAAAACAACTTTTCTGGGAAGAATACGGCGACGAAGAAATTGGGGATCAAGTCAACGAAGATATGGGAAATATGTTGGAATGGTTTGGTATGGCAACATTCGCTACAGGCCGCAAAGAGGTTATGGATTGGGAACCGGCTGAAAGTCCCTCTTCTTCGGAAAAAAAGGAGTTATCAAAAGAGGTAGCGAGCCATCTATCTCGACTTGCACAGATGTTRTCCAACAGAACAGATGACCCCAAAAGAAACGTTGGTTGTGTAGTTACAGTTGGCGATGAGATAGTTTCCATTGGATGGAATGGCTTTCCTTCCAAAGCACTTTATGGCAACCATCCCCGTGGTTCCAGGAGTGACCCGGACAACGTGAAGTCTAAATACCCGCACRTCATCCACGCCGAGCAGAACGCTTTGTTGTGCAGAAAYCGCCGAGATCKCSCAARTGGCATCGCKTATGTGAATAAGATTCCTTGTAATGAATGTATGCCCATGTTATACCAACTTGGAGTCAAGACCGTGGTACTTCCAGATGTTCCAGATGTTGACGRGAAGAAAAWACCTGATAGTGAGAGWTATTTCTATAAGCTGCKCGAGAATRASRARATTGWYRTTTTCACACAAGCAAAGGAAAAGCAAGAATAGGATTTCTAGCTTCAGTTTCTAGTTTTTTAGGCTTTCTAGCATATTATAGTAACAAGTACCTTACCTTGCCTGTGGTTCAAGATGGCTGCTCTTTTTATGTGAGCGAAAGTTTTGCTTTTTATYGATTAATATCCTTGCCATCTTTGCCCTTGGAGTACTCAAAGATTATCCTAAGGCTTCTCGAACTTCCCATGCTTATACACCGTGACTTATTTTAGTTTTATCCAAACGGTTTCATCGATATTTTCTACACTTCATACGAACCGTTGTTGTCCATCTTGGAGACCARACTGGATTGACTATGGGCTGTGATATTCTGCTGTACCGTCAAAGAATTGGCTACTTCTATAATTGCTTCTGTAATATCAARAATAAGAGCTTGAATTCCTCCATCTCTGTGCTTCAGGACGTTCGTGCTGACATGTTAACGATCACCACCTTATGCTTACTGTTATCCTCGGTAGTTATCATGAATTCAACCAAGATACAACCACATTTTCAGTCTACTGAGCAACTTTACCATCTTAATGCCTGCCCTAGACGAACTCTTCTGGTTGGTGACAATAAAGTGGTGCACAGTATGAATGGAAACATCTCTCCTCCGCATTTGTGTGGTGACTTACCTTGTGGACTCAAGATCACACATTGGAATATTCGCAGTTTGGCTCCAAGGATAAACAACAACAAACTGGATGAAATAAAGTCCATTCTGAATCAAACTAAAATTGAAACCCACATTTTGTGTATTTCTGAATCCTGGTTAGATARCACCTTCAAGGACTCACATATAAGGATAGATGGATACAAGCAGGAAAGAGTTGACAGAGAAGAAAGGAAACTTCCAACAAATAAAGCTCACGGCGGTGGGATTGTTATTTACATCAGGGACAATCTCCCTTACAAAAGAAGAACAGACCTRGAGTCAGATGATATTGAATCTGTGTGGCTGCAACTTTGTCCACCAAACTCTCCTTCGCACTTGATTTGTACAGCCTACAGAAGTCCTGACTATCCAGTTCAAACTTGGATTAATAAATTTGAGTTACAGTTGACTGATGCTTACATTGAAGGCCATCTTTTAACCGTAATGGGAGACTTTAACATTGATGTTTTGGCTGAATCTGATGAAAGTAGTTCCTGGTTAGAAACTATGGAAGATTATAATTTATGCCAAGTTATTAGAGAACCAACCAGGGTGACAAACACATCTGCTACTCTAGTTGATCATGTCTTCACATCAGTTCCATGCAAAGTTAGAACCACTAAAGTTCCAAAAATTGGAATCAGCGACCATTATCCCACCTGTTTTGTGTTAAAGAGTTCCTTTGGCATGAAACGCTCGCATACCAAAATAAAATATCGATGCTACAAACATTTTAGTGAGGTGAGCTTCTTAGATGATCTATCTCATGTCCCTTGGACTGTCATTGATACTCTTGATGATGTGGATGATTGTCTTGACATATGGTACAAGTTGTTTCTTGAAGTAATTGACAAACACTTACCCTGGA